TCATGGTACATGCACAGGCCCTGGGTTCAATGCCCAGTACAGTAAAAAATAAATAAAAGTTTTTTTTAAATGTTCTTAAATTTCTTCTGTCAGTATCTTCAAATATTATGGCAGAATCTTTCACCTTAAACTCAAACCAACATCTCTACTCCTACACAAACTTAACCTAGGGTAAGGGGCAAACAAGACCTGAATATAAGTTGGTTCCATTTCATTACAGGTTTTTGGTTTTTTGTATTTTTTTTTTTCAGGTTTTTTTTTAAAGACAGGGTTTCACTGTATGGTTCAGGCTGGCCTTGGGTTCACTATGTAGCCCAGGCTGGCCTTGAACTCCTCGATGATCCTCCTGCCTCAGCCTTCCAAGTGCAGCGATTACAGAGGTGAATGAACCACCATGCCAGCTCATTACAGTTTAAATTACTGAAATTCCTGTGACTGTGCTTATGATCATCTCCTAATGTGGGGTCTATCTTCCACCAGAATCTCAGAAGGGTAAGTCACCCCCCCATCCCCCCCCAAAAAAACACTAAGAATCACTATTCTAACATATCAAGATGAGTGATTTATTTTATTTTTTCGGGGCGGGGTACCAGAACTTGAACTCAGTACCTCACACTTGCCAGGTAGGCACTGTTCCACTGAGCTAAATGCCCGGCCCTTCTAACACATCAAGAAACATTCCATTTTCCAGAGGACTACAGTTAAAGTGACTTAGTTCAAACATTCTTCCCTTATATTCATAGAGGGGATTCTTAATACAAAATTAATCTTTTGGTCTTTTGCTGGGAGTGATAGGGTATGCATGCTTATAATCCCAGAACTTGTGAGGCTGAGGTAGGAGTGTTGCCATGAGTTTCAGGCCAGCCTGAGCTACATACATAGCTCAAGGCCAGCCTGAACTGTACAGTGAGACCCTGTCTCAAAACACACACATACACACATATGCACACACACACACACACCCTAAGAAAAAGAAAACAGTCTTTCGGAGAATTCCTTACTTCAGTCCAACCAAGAAGTTCCAATATCCAGAGGCAACATATATCAACAATGACAAATCCCCCAAAACAGCGTACTCATAAATGCCAAAAGAAAATGCCAGAGAAGGTATATGTACTACCACAAACTGGCCACTCTGTTAGATTTTTTTTTTTTGGGGGGGGGGTTGGTTTTTTGAAACATGATCTTGCTGTGTAGTTCAGGCTGGTCTTTAATTCACTTTGTAGCCCAGCCTGGCTGCAAACTCACAGTGATCCTTCTGCCTCAGCCTCCTCAATGCTGGAATTACAGGTGTGGTCTACCTTATCCAGCTTCGATTCTTTTCCAGAAATCCAGCTCAGGGCTTTGTGCTTGCCAGGCAGTGCTGCTGAGCTATCTTCTCAGCCCTTCAGCTTAGATTCTTAAATGCTCTTGTACCCTTCCATATTAAATGGTCCGAAACATCTAAATTCCCTCCAAAAAGTAGAATTTTGTGGGGGGAGGGTGCTGGGGATTCAATCCCAGGGCCTTCACGTTGAGCTACATCCTCAGTCCATTTTTTTTCCAATTTAGTTCAAAACAAGGTCTCAGTCGGGTGTGGTGGCACACACCTGCAATCCCAGCACTCAAGAAGTTGAGTCCGAAGGATTGTTGCAAATTCAAGGCCAGCCTGAATTACCTAGTAAGGCCCTGTCACAAAAAAAAAAAAAAAAAAAAAAAGACAAGGTCTCAGGGAAGGTGTAGGAGCTGGGAGGCTGAGGCAGGAGAATCACCTTGAGTTCAGGACCAGCCTGATCTATGTAGAGACTCCATCTCAAAAAAATAAAAATAAAAACGTAAAAAAGATAACAACAACAAGGTCTCACTAAATTGCAGAAGCTAAGCTCAAACCTGAAATCCTCCAGTCTCAGTTAAATAGACTTTTAAAGGTTTTTTGATTCAATTCCACACTGAGCTGCTCCCTCACTCAACTTAATACATGTGACTGTCAAGACAACTCCCCTCTCATGTGCACCCAGACTATTTCAACAGTGGCATCTTTATTATTCTAACCTCAAGGCAGGGACCATTTCTTGAATAGGTAATTCAACAAACACTCTTTACTAAGTGAATGAAAGAGGATCCTTCCAAAGATTTACTGTCCAGCTGGGGGTGTAGCTCAGTAGTAGGCTCATGCTTGGCAGGTATGAGGCCCTGAGTTCAAACCTCACACTAAAGTATAAAAAAAAATAAAGTTAGATTGTCAGCACCTGTGCAGCTGCTCTGCTACAAGCTGTGAAAGCCTTCCCTCCCTCAAATGCACAAGCTAATGTGTCAGATATACTTTGCTTCAGCTGGGCATGGTGGCATATGCATGTGACCCTACCACTCTGGGAGGCTGAGGCAGGAGGATTTTAAGTTCAAATGCATTCGGTATAACTTAGTGACTTAGCAAGACTGTCAATCGATCAATAGGCCGGGGGTGTAGCTCAGTGTAAAGACTGTGGGTTCAATCCCAGTACTGCAAAGGGCGGGACTCTGCTTCCTCCACAAACACAAAATAAAGTCAAGGAGTGCTTGCTTTGTAATCCCAGCACTCCTGAGGCTGAGGCATGAGGATCCCTACAAGTTCAAGGCCAGCCTGGGCTACACTGTGAGTCCAAGGCCAACCTAAACTACATAACGAAACCCTGTCTCAAAAAAATAAAAACAAAAAGAGAATAAAGTCAAGGATACTTATTTCATACAAGTCAGACAGGCAAGATCAACCTACATTCCATATATATGTTTAACACTATTGTCTCTGCCAAATATAATCCAACGAGTCACTTCTGCCCCTGTCTTTTCAATATACTCACCTATGCCAATAATGACCTCTTGGGGCATTACAATACGATGAATGCAATTCTGGATAAAACTTGAAGTATACTTAAAATATCTGAACTATAATCTCAACTCTGTCACCAATTTAACACGTGATCTTGGAAAAGTTACCTCTTTATGCCTCAATTTCCTGTTTCATAAAACGGGAGAAAATACCTGCTCTACCATATTCAGATATTTGGAATCACAAAAAATTGAAACATCTGAATATAAAAGCCTGTATAAAATGTTACTACAAATCCATGTCAACAATAAAAAAAGGTTACCCATCCTTTATAACAATTACTCCGTGAAAGATGTTTTGGACTTTCACATTTACATAATTCACTCTATATTCAAAGGCACAAATTATTCCTAAGACCTCAATTGGTTATGCCGTTTCTTCCCCTCAAAGTACATATAGACATATATACTACACTGTCCAGAATAATACCTTTACTGCTCTTTCTCGACAATTAGGGATTCCCAATCCCTAAAATACACACACGTATCAACCTGCAAAAAACATCCCAACATTTATTTTTAAAATAAACTAACTTATAAGGAGAACTCCATTACACTTAGACAAATACAGGGAAACTCTTCCGGAACACTTTCCATCCTTGCATAAACACACAAACACAGCCGCTCTACACCAACAGACCATCTGTCTTCCAAACCAAAAACATCTCTTTCCCTGTACAAACTAACCAGTGACATTTATCAAACTTCTATCACTGAGATCATTCTTTCATTCCTACACATAGTTCAGCGCGTCAGGGGCACCACAGACCTTGTCACACAGGTAAACTGCCCTCTGACGACAGTCTCTCTTGCTACGCTCATCCCTTAAGCAGACTCGAACTGGAGATGCTCTAATCATGCCTCCAGACACAAACTAACCTGTCAGGGGCACAACCGACTCCGCCTCCCTCGCTTACTTTCCCGCCCCGGTCCCCAAGCCAGGAGCCCGCCTGTCAGGGACACCCCTTCACCCCCGGCTGGAGGGACTTCCCGGTAAGCTCAGGATCCCCTTCCCTCCTCCCCTCCCCCATCCTACCGCCGCTCCCCCTGAGGGTCCGGGAGATGACAGGAGATCCCAGGAAGCCAGCGCCGAGTCGCAGAAAGCGTACTTAGGCCCCAAAGCCTGCCCGAACCGCTCCACTCACCGTGTCAGAGGCTGAGGCCGAGAGCGATGAGAGTGCAGGGAAGTGGGGATGAGGGGGTGGCTGCCAGGCGCCTCCGCTTCCCTCAGTCCATAGCGGCTCTCTCCCGCCTGTCAGGAGGCGGCCAGCGGGTGAGCGGACTGGCGGAAATGCGAGAGAGAAGGGAAAGACCGAGGGCTCAAAGGGGGAAACTGAGGGGAGGCGGGTCCCGCACCCAAGACGGGGATCGTCTCCCCCTCCGCAAAGCGAACCCAAAATGGCGGCGGGAGCGGCGGCGGCGGCGGCAGAGCGGCGGCGGCGGCTTCTCAGGAGGGAGGGAGCGAAGGGCGCTTCGCCCCCCCGCCGCCTCCCACTCCTCCCTCCCCGCGCTCTCCCACTGCCCCCCCTCCCCGACTCCGGCCGCCGAGCGCGCACGCCCGCCGGCACGCGTAGGAGTGGATCTGGCTTCTCGCTCCCGCGCCCACCAACACCACCGCCCCCCGTCCCGCACGCCCGCCAGCCTCTGCGCGTTCGCTCAGGGGCGCCTCTTCGCGCGGGCCCCCGTGCTCCCCCCGCGCCCCTGTCAAACCAGCTGTGGCGCAGGCCCTCACGCGTACCTTCGGCGGCGCGGGCGCGTACCCAAGCCTCCTCCTCCTCCTCCTTTTCCTCCTCCTTCTCCTCCTCCTCCTCCTCTTCTTTCCTCTCCCCCTTCCCCGCCCCCACGGCCACCAACCGCCGCCACGGCCGCCGCCGCCGCCTCCACCCCCCCACCCTCCACCCCTCGCGCCTGCGCCTCCCACAATCCCCCCCGCGGGACTGTTCCATTCTCATCGGCCGTAGGGGCGGAGGAGAAAAAGACGGGGCAAAGGCGGGTAGAGCTAGCATTGACGACTGGAACTATCCGAGAGGTAGGTAGAGACCTATGACTACCTACCTGTTTGGGCTCGTCGCCGCGGCGCTGAGGCTTGTTACCCTGTCCTCCTGCTGGCCACCCAGAGCGGGTCGGGGGTGGTGTAGCGCCCCTCCGCTGGCTGGCGGTTGGAGGCCTCGGCGACTGCGCGTTGTGTGGCTTCCTGGCGTAGGACCTGAGCTGTCTGCATTTGCGGGACCGGCGCTTTGGAGCTGGCCACTGGTTGTGTATGCTGGTTACCACGTCGGAAGACCTGGTCCTTGACTAACGGTGAGGGAACTGATCGGCAGAGGATTTTACTGATGAGGGGGTGGAGTGAGACTCCGAAGCTCTTGTGAGAGAGGGAGGAAGGTCAGTAGGGTCGCCGCTCTCCTGCAGAGGGCTTCTTCCCGGGCTTTGAGTTGTGGATCTGGGACCCACGGAAGAAGCGGCGCAGCGGTGTCGTTTTTTGTTGATATTGTTAATCCACTCAAGATTTTTCGAATTTCATACAGCTGTCTATACACTGTGATGCTTTTGTGTCTTTTACGCACAAAAACATTGCATATCTTCAGTTCTTTAGGCAGAATGGTGTTACGGTATAGGGAAACCACATATTTCTAATTCAGTTCTGTAGTTGATCTTCCGGGACTTTCTTACCATCTACCCGCAGTCCTGGGGGATTGAACCCTCCCACTGTGCTATATCCTCAGTCTGTTGATGGTGGTGGTAGTGTTTTTTCCTTAGGGCCTCACTAAGTTGCGAAGTTGCCCTAACTGAGCTCGAATTTGTGATTCTGCTGTCTCAACTCCCCAAGTGCCGGTATTACAGGCACGCTCCACCACGCCGGCCTTGGTCTTCTAAGTCTTGTGTGCCCTCCAGCAAGATATTTTTCTTAGTTCCTTATCGGAAATTGGACATAAAAATTAGTTACCTACAAATATGCCTTAGGGTTTGTGTGTGTGTGAAATAGATAATATATGTAAAAGTGAAATTAACTCCTAGGCACAGGGAAAGTGTAGAGTATGATTATGTTATCGTTTACAATAACGTTGATGTTGATAAGGTTTGTGGGCGTAATTGGTAGTTTGTGTCCTTCCCACCATTAAAATGTAAAATAAAAAAAAGCAAAACTGTCATTCTGTGGGCCTTCAAAACTTGTTTCTCAAAGTACCCTGGCATTTTGTGATCGAATTCGGGACAGCTATGGATTTAAAATCCATACATAATCCCAGATTTCATAGTCTGTATTTGTCCCAGAAGGGTAAAGCAATTAAAAGCAATTTGGGGGAACAATCGCTTGGATTTCCCTTCCTTTTACATCTGTGGACTCTCAGGGACCCAGGGATTACACTATAAGGAGATAAAGAAAGATTCAAGTGAAATGAAGGTTGCTCATCACTGGCCTTAAATTACAGGCATTATCGGGTCTAGGATGTAGCTCAGTGGCACAATGCCTGCCTGGCAAGTGCGAGGTCGTGAGTTCAACTCCTGCTACCAAAAAAACAAACAAAAATGGGCATTATCTTAGATTATCCAGTATGCCCTCTGAATTACAAATCTTCAAAAGACGGAAGAAAGAACCAGAAGAATCAGTGGCAAAGTGATACAATGTGAGAAAAACTCCAAACCTGGTACTACAGATTTCATAAATAAAAGGGAGCCTTGAGTCAGGCAGCCTTGGGTCTGAGAAAGATAACAGAGACTCCTAAAAAGGCGAACTTCCTAGAAATGCAAACAGTGCTTCTTCACTTTTATTTCAAATTTCTGAACTACAAAACTATAAGGTAATTTTTTCTTGTTTTACACCACTCAGTTTGTGGGACTTGTTACAGCAGCAATAGGAAACTAATACATAATGGTAGCCAACTCATGGCTAACCTGCCAAGTGGTCTACCTTACGTCATGGTTTTGTGCTTTAATTTAAATGAGGGTTTAATTTAAATAAGGCTGTGTAATTGAAGTTTCTTAAAGCAGAACAACAGGCAGTCAACAGAGCTGCCTGTGTTTCCAGTATTTCCTTGATGACACCAGTCCTCAAACTGTATCCATGAACCCAGTTTTTCCTATAGGACTCAGGATTTAGATCAGTGTTTTTCTGAACCCAGTTTTTCCTATAGGACTCAGGATTTAGAACAACTTCAACACAACTGACATTTGGGAATAGGCCATTTTTTGTTGTGAGGGACTGCCTTGCCTTGTGGAATGTTTAGCAGTATCCTGGCCTTCACCACAAGGTGTCTCTGTAGCATCCTCCCTTCCTCTGCCCACGCATGACAGCCAGAAATGCCTCCAGATCCTCATCGCCAAATGCTCCAGGGAGAGGGATGCTAAGCAGTCATATCAGAATAGATGTGTTGATGAAAGATTTAGAAAAGCAAAACAATCACAGTATATGGGTTCTTGATCCCCAGTACAACAAACAAACAGGCCGAGTATGGTAGCTACTTGGGAAGTTGAGGCCATAAGAATCACAAGTTCTAGGCCAGACTGGGAAATTTAGTGAGACCTTGTCTTAAAAATAAAAGTAAGCGTCAGGCATGGTGGCGAACCAGATCGTTGTGAGTTTGATACTAGCCTAGGCTACAAAGTGAGCTCAAGGCCAGCTTGAACTGCATAGTGAGACCCTGTCTCAAAAAGACAAAAATGAATAAATAAAATAAAGGGCCAGAGGTATAGTTCAGTGACAGAATACTGACCTAGCATGTGGAAAGCCCTGAGTTCAATCCTCATTGCCAGAAGTGAGAAAAAATATTTGAGTAGTGTGTGAACAGAATAAAAGCTTCTATTTATTTATTCATTCATTCATTATTTTATGAGAAATTGTCTTGCCATGTAGTTTAGGCTGGCCTCAAACTCTCAGGAGTCCAGCTCAAGTGCTGGGATTAGGGGCGTGCACCATCACACCTGGCTGGAAAAGCTAAATAACTGCAACCATTCCATAATTTCTGATTTAAAATATTATCAAAACATTTTTTAGTTTGCACTGATTAACTTTATAAGTGAGTGTTCGAAACCATTAATATATAAATTTTGTTAGTAAAAATTTCAACAAACTGGATAAGGTTCACAATTACTTAAATGAGGTTATCAATTCACTTATCCTTAGCTAAGATCAGGATCAGAAAATCACACAAATGAAAGAGTGAGGTTGCCTAGGAGAAGATACAACATAGTGGTGAAAGTGGTAGGCACTTAAAATCCAGTTACCACATGTGACATAATAAAATATATGTATATTTGGTCTCTGACCCAGGTTTCTGACACAGCTTCTAAAACCATTCTAATTTCCTGAGTGATAGGGTGCCAAGAGCATCTTTATTCTTGTATTTGGTCTTTGGCCTGGTTCTGACACAGCTCCTGAATCCCTTGGGTTTTTTGAATGCTAGAATTTTTTTAAATGAAGTGACTCTCAGTGGGCTCTGTATAGTTTCAGAATGAGGGCTGGTCACCAGAAAGACTAAGCTATGATTAATTAGAAGCTAGGAATTGTCAGCACCACTGTCCATCCTCCAGGGAAAGTGGACTAATAGTCAGTCTGCAGAGTTTCCAGGCTAGTGAAAGTGTCCATGTGCCAGGAATGCACCCCAAATTCTATAGAATTAACAACTCTTGTATCCAAGACCTTCCTGAGCCTCACTCTGTATACCTCTTCATGTGGTTGCTTTCTTACATTTTAATATTCCAATAAACATAAGGGCTTACCTCCTGAGTTCTGAGTCATTTTAGCAACTTCTTAAACTTGAGGAACACTTGTGGGAATCCGTAGTGTATAGCCAAATCAGTTAAAAGGATGGGTAACTTAAGGTCCTGCCACTTGCTATTGGCTTCTGAAGTGAGGGGCAGCCTTGCGGAACAGAACCTTTAGTTTGTATAATCTGAAGGTAGATAGTGTCCTGTTCCATTACATAGTAGGACCCCCAATTGTTATCCACAGAGTTAGAGAATTGTTTGCTTTGGGAAACCCACACATTTCTGTCAGAGTGGTGGGAGTAAAGGAAACAAAGGGTTTTTTTGTTTTCTTTTGTCTTGTTTTGTTTTTGCTTTGTTTTGTTTAGAGACAGGGTCTCATGGCAATCCTCCTGCCTCAGCCTCCTAGTTACAATCTAGACAGTAGTATCTAGCCTTCTTTCTGAGTTCTGTTTATGTTATTGTCTTCTTTGAACAACACACTTTACACCCTCATGTTGCCCTTTCCTTTTTCTCTGTGGATGCTATAATTTCAGTAAAATGTCTCCCCACTAAACCTAATGGTGAAGATGTTGATGATGGACGTCCTGGTTGGTGTTTCGCCCTCCCTTATTTTTCAATTATGTGGTCTGTTAGACCTAATCTAAATTGTATGACCTTTTGAACCCCTTTGTTTTGAATAAGTAACAAACAGATTCCATACTGTTTGGTCCAGAAGGTGCATAAATATTTTATAATTTTTTTTTTCACTTTTTGATTACAGGACAGCTTGTCAGGTGTTGGTCACCTCTGTCAACACCTCCCATAGAATTACTATAATCATTGACCTCTAGTGGGATTTCTTTAGTGTCATTACTGCTTTTAAGTTCTGTCATTTCTGTATTATGAATAGTTGACAATAAGAAGACGCCTTTTTTGTATTTCCATTTCATAACACAGACTTCCTTTCTAATCTACTAACATTTCTCCCCTACTCAATTTTTTCTTTTGAAGATTTTTTTTATTAAAGACAGAGTCTTGCTATGTGTGCAGTTCATGCTGGCCTTAAACTCACTATGTAGCCCATGTTGGCCTTGAACTCACAGCTCTGTTTGTGTGGCCTTTTGAGACAGGCTCTTGCTATATAGTTTAGGCTGGCCTTGATACACTATTGTAGTTCAGGCTAGCCTCAAACTCACATCAATTTGAGTGCTGGGATTACAGGCATGTACCACCATACCTGCCAGCATTATTACTAATAATAGTTTTGAGCTAATTCAGTTTTGAGCTAATTCAGTTTTGAACTAATTCAGTTCTTAGACTAGATCAGTTTAGTTTTGAGCTAATTCAGTTTTTAGGCTAGATCAGTTTAACCTTAAGAATCTATGATTCTCTTTATCAAAAGCAAATGTTCAGGCCAGGCGTGGTGGCACACACCTGTAATCCCAGCACTTGGGAGGCTGAGACAGGAGAATCACTGCAAGTTTGAGGCCAGCCTCATCTTCATAGTGAGTTCAAGGCCAGCCTGAACTGCATATTGAAACCCTATCTCAGAAAACAAAACAAAAGAAAAAAAGCAAATGTTCATTGTTACTTTCTTACTCTTTGTTGGAACAAGGTAT